TATCTGGTCCGTTAGTAATAAAGTTACCAGCATTTAATTGCAAAGCGGTCTTCTTAGGTGAAAAATATTACAGCAAAGATAAAAATGAAAATAACACCAAATCAAAATTTTTTTACAAAAAGTTATACTGAACAAAAGAAACAACAACAATACACCATGGTTCAGAAAAGAAATAAAGGAAAAATGTAAAGAGAAACGAGAGGCCTACACGAAGTACAAAACATCAAATACCCCAGAATCCTGAGACAACTACAGAAGAATTCGAAATGAAACAAAGCAGTTGGTAAGAAGAACAAAAAATGAACACTGGGAACAGTTTACAAAAAGGATGGGAAGCGACCTCTACGGTACACAAAAACAAATATGGAAATTTATACGAAACTAACGGAAAGAAATGGCAGAATTGAAGGAATACAATAACATACCAGCAAACGAATGTGAAAGATACCTGACGGAACTGTTTACAACAAAGAAAAATAATAATCAACGCAGTAACGTACCTGAGTTAAGTTAGTAAGTACCCTGAGGTTTTCAGGACGTAGAAATAGACATAAATTCGCTCAAAAATAGAAAGTCACCAGGACCTGATGGAATAACTAACGAGCTTCTAGAATACGGAGGAGAAAGCATAACTCTAGAGATGACAAAACTTATACAAAAACTAATATTGCACTGCAAGATACCAGACGCATGGAGAAACAGCATAATGATACCAATGTTCAAGAAACGATATGAAGAAGATCCCAACAATTATAGACGTATAAATCTACTGAACACCGCACTTAAGCTTACCACAAAAGTCCTAACCAATAAAATCGACAAACTAACAACTTTATCAGATGAACAACAAGGATTCAGATCCGGAAGATCCTGCGTAGACGCTGTATTTGTACTAAGACAAATCACAGAAAAAGCCATCGAGTACAATAAACCTGCATATCTATGTTTTATAGACCTGACAAAGGCTTTCGATCGCTTCCAAGTCGAAGACGTCTTACACCTACTGTATAAAAGAAACATACCAATATTATACAAACCATCGAAAACATCTACCTCCATAATCGAATACAAGCAAAGATAAATGGAAAATTAACACAGTGTATACCAGTACAAAGTGGAGTCAGATAGGGTGATTCGTTTAGCCCACTTTTCTTTAATATAATAATGGACAAAATAATACAAGCGGTACGTAAAGGTCATGGCTACAGAATGGGGAACAAAGAAATCCAAATATTATGTTATGCATACGACGCCGCATTAATCGCCGAGACAGAAGACGAGCTCCAAAGATGAACACATATCTTCAATACAACAGCTAAGAAATGATAATATAAGAAGAAAATAATATGATAATATCAGCAGAAAAAACCAAATGTATGACAACATCTGAATACCCACTACGGTGTAAAATCGAAATTGATGGGAAAATAATAAAGCAGGAAGTAAGGTTTAAATATCTGGGAATAGATATAACTAGTTACGAAGATGTTGAAGAAGAGGTACGACAACAAAGCTTAAAAGCAAGTAAAGCGGCGGGCTCTCTTAATAACACAATCTGGAAGAACAAACACTTAAGACAAAACACAAAAACAAGAATCTATAAAGCAGCAATTAGACCTATATTAACATACACGGCGGAGACAAGACCTGACACATCTAAAACGAGACGACTGCTAGAAACAACAGAGATGAAAATACTCTGACGAAGATCAGGGAGAAGTCTGTTGGATAGGGAGAGAAGCGAAAACATAAAAAGAGCATGCAATATAGAAGACATAAATGGATGGGTGACAAAACGAAAATAGGAGTGGAACGAACAAATCAGTAGAATGGCAGAGGATAGAATAGTACGAATAGCACGAGATAAGTCACTAAATGGACGAAGAAGTATTGGCAGACCAAGAAAAAGATGGTGCGACAATTTAAACAATTTAGGAGGCTAATATTGAAGAAGAAACAGGCTTTAAAGCCTACATACTAGAAGGAAGAAGAAGAAGAAGAAGAAGAAGAAGAAGTAGTAGCAGCAGTAGTAAATATTTGTATTATTCGCGTTGTTTATTTTATTTAATATAGTTTTATTGTTTCATTATCTTTGTTTAATTCTTTTGTTAGTTCTATTTAGTTAATTAGTTATATTTTAAATTTTAATATTATGTATAGTCAAAGTTTTCCATTTGTTTTATCAGCTAATGCGCTGGTAAGTTTTTCTTAATAAATATGATAAAATGTTCTTTAAAAGTTAATATTTTTAGATGAGTAAGGATGCTGTTTCTAAATTACAAGTTAATGAAATTGCACAAAGCTTTATTCAAAATGCCTATTCATCGAATTAGATAACTGTTACAGATGTTCATAATAACAAACACATTTCATTTAACATCCAAATGTCTAAAAGTCTCAGAAAAAAGTGTGCGTAAATATAAAGTTGGGCCTAATAAAACTCTCACTTTAAACAAGAAAAGTCGCAAAAGGATATTAATGACTGACTTAAATGATCACAGCGTCAAAAATTAAATTCGCTTAGAAATTTATCACATGTATGAAGAAAGTAAGTTTCTACTATATATACAAATTGTGCCAAATGTAGGCAAACAACCTCAAAGTTTTTGGTAGAATTTAGCTTGAGTTTCTTGAGAAAAAATTCAATAAACGAAAAAATTTTAACATTCTCCAGCTAATAATAAACTCTTTTAAAAGTGATGATAATATCACTGAATAAGCAATATTTTAAATGATATATAATCACAGAACATATTCAATATTGTGTTATATAATCCACATAATAAAGTACGTTAGATAAAAAAGGTAAAATCGCGGGTCGTCCAAAACTAGTTTCTGATAAGAATAATAGAATATTAGTATAAGTTTGCAAAAAAAAAGGTCGATCAAATACTCTAATGAAATAAGCTATTGTGCACGTGTGCTTGGTTGTATAGTAATTTCCAGCCACTTCTAGTCTGTCAAAAAGTAACTAACTTTGCAAAAAATAATTACTAAATTCACTAGACAGTTCGGACTGGGAATAACGACCCGAGTATGTCATTGCTCGTTACCGATATATATATAATATGCTTCTATCACGTAGATACCCTTTTTCTACAATAAAATGATAAAAAAAATTACTTTCTGACTTAAAAATGAAATCCACATACGTACAGATTTATGGTTCTACAAAAAGGAAAAAAACGATGTGGGTGACGCCCTGTACAACTAATACAATATTGAGGTCATATTCAAACTTTGCATGTCAAAGTACACCCAAATACCAGTGTTCATACAAATATTGACATTATTTCAAACATTACAAAAAAAAAACGAAAATAAACATAAAACGCCTGAATTTCTGTAGAAACACGAACACATTATAGGATTTTTTAACCAAAAAACTCAACTAAAGTTTCAATTTAATCCACAAATACTGCTATAATACGTAAGTATATGAAAAGCAACAATAAACGACTAAACAATCTAAACATAAGTATAGTCTCAACAGGGTTTACCTACAGACGAAACGACGCGGACGGGAAAGTTGTGGGTGCATAGATCATCGAGCAATAAGACAAAAGAGGGAATGTAAAGGTAGAAGGGGTAAACATATTGATAGACAGGAAGTGCCATCTTGAGAGGCCACTTTAGACAAGGATAGACAGTCTCTATCCTTGTTTAGGAAGTCAAATTTAGTTTGGTTATGTTATTGTTTGTCCCAACTGTCACATGAAATTTTATTTATATTGAAGTTTTTTTACCAATTGAGTCAATTTTTAGACTATTATCGTTAATATTTAATTAAAACTTTCTTGTCTGAAAAATATTTTACAGCTATTGTTAACAAGTGTTGGAAAATTTAAATTTAGCGCCTTTGCATTTCCGGATGTGTCCGCCATCAGAGGCCACTTTTTTGGTCTCCTTTTTATAACGATTAGATTCCCTCTTTTGTCTTATTGCTCGATGGCATAGATATAAGGAAAAATACGAATTTACAAATAAAAATTAGCAAAAATGTCGATATAATTATTGACAGGCTTTCATAGACTATGTTTTAAAGAATAGAATCATATAGACATTATGTCAAATGTAATAATGATAAAATAATATATAAAAAAGCACAATTCAAAAAAGGCATACAAATTAAAAAAAAAGCATAGAAAAGTGGTGTCAAATAACTTATTTTTGCATTTTTCGTTTACCCTACTGGGTTTTTCAATAAGGTTTAATTTTTCCTTTTAAGACAAAACATAAAAATAAATGTACCTATTAAATAAATGTGGCAACTTTTTCAAGTTCGTATTGCATATTCTCATTTTTTTAAACTTGTTTATTGCTCTCTTCTCTAATATTTTATCTAGTAATATATAATGGATCAGAAGATATAAAATAGACCCTATACATCCTCAGAACAACAATATAATGCGGATATATTTTTTAAAACTTATTCTTCTGTGTGTACAGCCCGGCAATACTGCTAAAATACATATTATCTCGCTTCTTATCAGTTTCCAAAAGTGTCTCAAAGTACCCCAAAAAGTATTATGCACAGACATGCAATATTTTAGGTTAGGTTATATATTCTTGAACTTTTTATATAAAGGGATTTTTAATTCTCCAAATGTTTTGCAAATACCTTAAGATATTTTATTTTTACTTACAACTCTGTGAATATTTAGTTTTAATATACACTACATATTGTAGCTTAAAATTCTTATTTGTACTTATCTATCTACTTTTAAACCCAAAGTTGCCCAACCTTGAATTACAAATTCAATAAGTTCCTTTGTTGGACCAAGAGGATTTTACATTCTAGGTTTCAATACACTAGAACTGTCCATTTAACAGTTATTTTACAAAGAGAGAGACGTTCGACACGATTTCAAGGACCTGTCAGTTACCTGAATAATATTTTTTGGCTTAGAAGTAGGTACTTAAAAGTTATTGCATTGAACTTTCTACTCACTCACAAATTTATACTACTGCCATAAAATTATAATAAAGTAAATACATACCCACAAACTTCAAAATTTTCCATATTGTTATATTTAAATTTAATGTGGTATACTTCTTAGAATACAGCTATTTATTAATTACAAACATACATGTTTATGCAAGTTAGTAAGCTTCTAATAATGATTACTAATTCTGTTTTTATTGAAAATTGCTTGCAATATTGAATTCTTTGACTAACATTAAATCAGTAAATGACATGAACAATTACAAATTGTTATACTCGATATTTAGTAGAATAACATTTTCTTGGTGATATTATCCAATATGGATTGGTTGGTGATTGGTCAGTATAATTAATATAAATTAAAAAACAACTTCTAATGTGTCACCATCTTCAATATAAATTAGGAATCACAAAAATGATAATATTATTTGATAATTATTATACCTATTGAATAAAAATCAATAACAATGTCTTTTATATACGAATGTAATATTTACTCAAATGTTATTATTGGTACTACAATACTCTATTATAATATAAATTAAGTTAATGTGTGTAATAAAAACATGACTTATTTAAGTATTAACTACTGTCAGAAATAAGATTCGCTATGATTAGATTACCTTCTATATTACTAATCATGGCGAATACAATGACGTATAATATATAGACTCGGTGAACGCTTTAAAAAGTGTCCAAAACATGAATACCTTTGTTATTGTTTATTGTTTTGATACGAAGATACACGAAGTTCATGATTTCTTACGAAGCATCACGAAGTTGATCTTGTGTTTGAAAACATCATGGACGTATGAAAGCATTTTCTCCATTTTGTGTGACAAGCAAATTTTATTTTAAATTGTTGAGAGTTATTTACTTACTATTTTAGTAAAATGCCATACTATTTTATCAAAATAATTATTTCTCTTATAGATGGGACAAAAAGAAATCATAAATATTTAATTTTATTAAAAAAATAATTATTGTCATTAAAATATAAATGAACACGCCGCTGTTCTAATAAACATACCTTCACCTTGAGCCGAGATCTTTCGGACACTTGATTCTATAGCGAGAATAGGGGACTGCGTAGTCTATATATTATACGTCATTGGGCGAATAATATAATATATTTCCGAACTGTCCAGTGATTTTAGTTTAGTAATGGACCGCAGAAGTGTGACGTCACATTGTCATTATTACCACAGAATAATAAACAAACAGAATACCCACTCTCCACGGAAAATTAAGTACGCGCATCTCCTCCGCGCAGACGTTCCGCCATGTTTTAGGAGGATTTTAAAGAAATTAGTGTTGTTTATGTGGTGTGCATGGAAAAATTAACCAGGTTTATTTGACTTACGGCAATCATAGACATACTATACAATTATATTAACATTGTTAAATATAAGAACATAAATATAATATAATTAAACATAAATATAAACAATTACATAACCACACAAATCATATGTCTGTGTCCTCCTAAAACATGGCGCGCGTGCTGAAAAACTTCAAAGGCGGCATCTGAGAGTTGCCCTTCTGATTGTTTATTATTCTGTGTTATTACTTTCCAAACAAACGTTGAAATGTCAAATCTCAAGACTTTTTAATACCTATAAAGTTAACATTTTGCTTCCTCTGCTGCTTTTTCTTGTAAGTATAGTGTTTTTACGATAATACCGTCATAATTCAGAGTTTTATTTCTATGAAATATGGTTTAAAAGTTTAATTAAAGAAATTTTAACCTTACTTTATTGATACTTTCATTTTATTCCTATTAGCATAAAACAATGTGCTTTATTATTTACACAACCTTGTAAAATTGTTGTAGTAACTATTAGAATACTTAAATATTGCAAAAAGCGGAAAGATTCTATAAAATAAATGAAAAAATAACGAAAAATACAAATTATCCACACTAAACAAAGTTTGTTTGGAAAGTGAAACTGGCAGATGTCAATCAAATCTACGTCATCACTCCTGTGGTCCATTAAGGTTTGTTTCATGATACTAAGACCACAGAATAATAAACAAACAGAATACCCACTCTCCACGGAAAATTAAGTACGCGCATCTCCTCCGCGCAGACGTTCCGCCATGTTTTAGGAGGATTTTAAAGAAATTAGTGTTGTTTATGTGGTGTGCATGGAAAAATTAACCAGGTTTATTTGACTTACGGAAATCATAGACATACTATACAATTATATTAACATTATTAAATATAATAACATAAATATAATATAATTTAACATAAATATAAACAATTACATAACCACACAAATCATATGTCTGTGTCCTAATAAAACATGGCGCGCGTGCTGAAAAACTTCAAAGGCGGCATCTGAGAGTGGCCCTTCTGATTGTTTATTATTCTGTGCTAAGACTAACGGCCGATTTCATAATCAAGTTAAAGGAGACTTTAAATTTAAAGTTGCCTTTAATTTTAGATTTTCATTTCATAATCAATTTAAAGGATCCTTTTTATCAAAAGCCGACTTTAACTTTAAAGTGAGGATTTCGGACCTTTAAAGTTGTTAAAGCTTCCTTTAAAGAGTACATAACCTATTTTTTTTTTTTTTTAAATTTTAACCACAGTATAGACAACAACCAGTATTCCCACTCCGCTTTGGCGCGAAAGTTCGCGCATTTTACTCGCGCAGACAGCGACGCCATTGTCTCTGGCGTCCGAAAAATTTCACGGCTCTCATTGGCCATTGTCCATTGTCATTTGTCAATAATATAGAGGCCATTCTGGCCATTGTATTTGTTTACTTTTTGTGTATTTATAGATACAAATAATCTTTATACATTTTTTATTTCGCAATTACATTATATAAGTACGTCGATATGTACAAAAATAAAAACAAAAAGCCTTGCCACACTTATGCAACTACAAAGTGTTGTAATAATTGTAGACAAAGTAATGTTAGTTATTTTCGTTTCCAAAAGATGTTAATAGATAGGTGAGTGTTAAATTAGGATTAAAATTGTGTATTACAGATGTTAAGATGTTATATTATTTATTAACGGTGGATTTTCATCGTGTATTAAAAAATGTTTGTATTTAGGGCAAAAATTTGGTTAAAGGCATGTGAACGAGAAGATTTATTGGATAAGACAAAACGTCTACATAGAAGTCGTCGTCTTTGTGGTACTCATTTCGACAATAAGATGTTTCTGAATATGAAAAGTCGATTACAACCTTCTGCAGTTCCCACAAACTTTCCTTTAATGGAGGGCTCATCAACTTTTGATCATACTTATTCTGCAATAGTCTAACACATATGTCTGCCAAGATCTCCTATTAATGAAGGTAAATAAAATAAATAATTAAGATGTAACACATATGTAAGCTTTCTCTTTTTCTTTTAGAAGTAGTGAAAAGTTCAGCTATGTATATAGAGAAAAATGTTAGTATTAAACATAAACCATCCACTATAACTGTACTTCAGGATATTACTATTAGTCCTGTTAAAAACAACATATTCTATGAAGAACCTGAACATGTAACTACATGTCCAGTAACACCACTTACAGGGCCGGATTAAGGCACGGGCCAACTGGGCCGCGGCCCAGGGCGGCAAAATTTTGGGGCGGCGGATTTGAGAAAAAAAAAGTGTAATTATTTTTGATTGATTATAAAGCTTTATTATCGATTATCAAGACCAGTGAACCTGAGCATTAAATATTAAAAAACTATTTTATTGTTTATTATTTATTTATAACGCGACACTCTGCGCGGTGTAATGTGTCGCAGTACACTACGCTACGCCACTCTATCCAAGTGAGTCGAAGGGGCGAGGCGGCAGTCTGTATCGTACGCTACGCACGGGAAATTTAGTTGTGGGATCGTAGTAGTTGCTAGCATTGGCTGATGGCAGGTGTCTTGTCGCCTTGCCGCTTCCCTCCCCCCACCAACTCCATCACCGCCACGCGCCATTGTCATTCGGTTGTCTGGTCTCAACTCCACGTACTGCAGTCTGTCTAACTGTTTAGGTTTAACGTTTTTGTAATTTGTTTTGAGCGGAGTAACATTTTGAAATTGTAACTTGTGAGGTAAGAAATATTTATTTGTTTATAGTAATGGTAATGTAAGTTAATATAGATCTTACATCTAAAGGTTCAGATAAGTTTATGCAGCAGCAGTTAGCACTGGTGTAAGGAGTAGTGAGACGGTGAGAGCTGTGCTGTGTAGGCCGTAAGGCCGTAAGTTGTCAAATTTTGTGGCTATTTAATTTTGCATATTTCGCCATTTTACTTTGTGGTAGTAAGAGAAGCAATGTAATTCGGCATGTTGCCATACGTATAGGTTTCACAATGAGTTGAATAAGTAATGGAAGGAAATTCGCTTCCCTCATTTTTTCGCTTCATTTTTCCTGTCGTATCGTACTACAGTTTTGAATTATACAGATATTCTTTTTTTTACAGTCAGACCTTTACTTCCGATGTCATTGATGCTATAACAAGCAGCTGTACAAATGGATGGACGCAAACGGCTCAGTGGGTGGCAATACAAAAAAGTAGCCGAAGAGAAGAAAAAAAAATTGACAGAAGTTGTAAATAAAACTGCGAAGCTTGATACATTTTTTACAAGAAGTAACCTACCAGTGCCACCAGAACCAGTGCTTTTAGAAAGTGTCAAAGAATTTTGTGAAGTAGAACTAGAAGTATGTTCCATATTAACGCCTTCAGCTTCAACAGCTTCAGCATCAGTGCCTTCAGCTTTAACATCAACCCCTCCAGCTTCAGCATTAGCCCCTTCAGCTTCAACATCAACCCCTTTAGCTTCAGCATCAGCCCCTCCGGTTTCAACATCAACCCCTTCAGCTTCAGCATCAACCCCTTCAGCTTCACCCTCAACCCCTTCAGCATCAGCACCTTCAGCTTCGTCATGTGTTGATACTGACAAGATCAAACCAGCTATATCCGAATTAACTTTTGTTGTTGACGAGATTGAAGATCAATTAACAGTCTCTGAACCTGACTCTTCTGTCCATTTGAAACCAAATTATGATCCTGCTTTATGGATAGTGAATGAAGAGACGCGGGAATATTTTGTTAAAAATGGATGGAATCAAAATAAAGATTGCGATTTTAAAAAATCTGAAAGGCAATATCCAGACAGGAAAAGAGTGTTGGCTAAATGGCTATTCGACAGAAAACTTGCAAATGGCGAAATTGTAAATAGAGATTTCTTGATTTACTCACCAAGTTTAGGCTCTTT